ACATATGTTAGGTACTGCATACATTACTTAGCTTGATTTAGCCATTTCACATTGTTTGCATATTTCAAAATATGTTGTACATCTTACTTTTTTATTTGTCAAAAACTAAGAGAAAAAGTTTGAATTGCAAAATCTTTTTTGTTGGAATAAAAAAATTGTTTTATTGCCATGTTTTTGCTTTGGTTTTCTGCTTTAGGAACTGCTGTTTTCTATCTGGTGTATATTATTTCTATTTTCTCCCACTTTACCTTCTGTTTTTCTTAAAGGAGTAAATATGTTCCCTAATTATATACAGGCATTTTTAGAAGGTTGTGTAGTTCTAGGAATTGTGGTGTGAACCGATTTTGTCATGTGAATGCTAAGAGAATACTTACACAAATCTAGATGTTTTATTTCTGTCACTTGACATGTCTTCTTAATGTAGTTAAGAGAGATGGTAAGGGGCTGGGGATATAGATCAGTGACTAGAGTTCTTGCCTATTACTCAGCACTACAAAAAAAAAAAAAAAGAGGCGTGGTAAGTACAAAATAGGAGAGCTAGCTGCTTGTACAGTAGGGCATATCGTTTTATAGTAATCCTTTATTTTCTTTATAAAAGTAATCCTTTTTATAAGTAGAAGGAATATACTCTAAAATGATAAAATATATCATAATAAATAAACCAGCAATAGTTATTTATTGTCATTTACAAGTATTACGCACTTACATATAAGTGTATATCCTATACTATATGACAGGCAGCTCCGTAGATTTGTTTATAATGGCATTTGCACAAATGCATAAGTAAAGGGTTAGACCACTACATCAGCTCAGCTGTTATAATCTTATGGAACCACTGTCATATATACAGTTTATCACTGACTGAAATGCAACATATGACTACTTGAATGTTCAAAAAAGGCTAGGCTTACAAATTGTCTTTCAGAATTGGATCATCAGACATTTGAATGCATTGTTCTGAAGAGTAAGACCGTCAGACTGTAGAATTTTAGACTTGACTTTCTGATTCTTTTTAGAGATATAAGCTAAAGTATTCAAATGTGTTCTCAGTTGAACCCAGTAAAGTCTGTTCTGTTACAATATATGCAACCTCTGCAACATCAGTTAGTTTATACACTATTGTTAAATGGGAGAACTTTATCAGTATAACATGGATACTATGTTGGTTTATATATAATTCTCCTTTGAACTAGACAGAGGGTTCTGAATAATGGGAATTGAATTTTATAATTCATCAAGGAACAAGAAACTTTCTGTTCATCTACTGCATAAGCAAATACCCTTTCACTGGTATTTTTGCTTTTCTTTGCTTTATTAAAGTTAAAATGATAATCTACATTGGGTGCTCTCTCCCCAGAGGTGTACAAGAACTCTTCCAAAATGGCAATGTGTATTTCCTTTTGTGCCCATCTTAATAGAATCCCTACTGGCTTAAGGCTTTACTGTTCAAGTCCTGTATGCCCTTGTTTCCACTTCATCATTTTTTAAATTATACCCTGAGGTAACATTCCAGCAACTCTTAGTACCTGAGGGTGAGGGTAGTGTCCAAGTTATCGCTGAAGGTCCCAATCAATGTTTTTGTTAGTGCTGTGGTTACAAATGTACAGGAGCCTTAAGTAATGTGCTCCAACATATTATATTCTATCCCCTGTAAGACACATTTTTTTCCCCCACAAGTCTTGTTATCTTTATCATTGTATCAGTGCAGGGTTTTCAAGAATCTATGTAACATTTGTGTTATAGCAGCTGTACTGAGAAACTACTTCATGGGAAACTAGAGCTTAGTGTAATTTAAACTTTGCTGCAATACTTCTGTTCTTAAAGGACTTTATAAAGACAACTCCTATATTTTCTGATAATGGAAATCCTATGTTTGAGATATGAGACTTCATGTTAATCATTTTAAAATACTGTAAAATAACAAATGGTAAAACATTGAAGAATTTTGTTATGGATTACTGAGGCATCATCATCATTTTTTTTTTTTTTGTAATGCCATATTGTTTTGATTGAGCAACCTAAAATTAAGATAAATTGCTGAGTAAAAGGAAAATTCCATATTGAATGATATTTGCAGTAAAATATTTTTTCTTTTTTGACCCCAAAATGAAATTATAAATTTTACCATTAACAATACCAAGCTTATTTCAGAAATAATTCAACAATATTCAGCCTTCAGAAAGTATAGTAGGCTGGGCTTGATGGTACACACCTGTAATCCTAGGGAGCCAGAGACAAGAGAATGGCAAGTTCAAGGCCAGCCTCAGCAATTGAGTGAGACCTTGTCTTAGGATGTATCTCAATGACAAGAGGGTTTCTGGGTTCAATCTCCAGTACCACAAGAAGAAAAAAGAAGAGAAAGAACATGCAAAGTAGTGTATTTTATTAGTTACTGTGTTATAAGAAAGCAGAGAAGTTCTGGGTATGGTGGCTCACATCTGTAATCCCAGTGGCTAGGGAGGCTGAGACAGGAGGATCACGAGTTCAAAGCCAGCCTCAGCAAAAGTGAGGAGTAAAGTAACTCAGTTAGAGTCTCTAAATAAAATGTAAAATAGGGCTGGGGATGTGGCTCAGTGGTTGAGTGCCCCTGAGTTCAGTCCCCGCTCCCGCCACCCCCCCACCCCGCGCCAAAAAAGTAGAGAAGTTCTTCCAGTTATGAATGTTGATATGTATTAATTATATAGAATATGTAAATTTGAAATTCTAATCCTTATCAAATGATTTTAGGTAGTTAATTAAATCATCATGGGCAATATTACAATACAATGATTTGTTTAGTGGATGACTAGAAAAATTCTCAAAACAGAAAAAGATGTATAAATGGTGAAAAATAGGGGTGGAAGTGATTTAGCTGTTGATGCTTGCTTAGCAAGTGTACTGCCCTGAGTTTTATCCCCAGCACTGCAAAAACTAATAAATAAATGGAGAAAAATAAATCAGGCTAATGCTCAGAAGTATATTATTTAAGTCAATTATACTGCAAGCATAGTATAAATTTGTCATGGGAAACTTGCCTTAAATAAGATAACAGACATAGAGCTTCTTGCTAAGGAGTAGATTCCTTGGTGTTAATTTGGCCACTTAAATAATTGAGGTAAACAGTAGAGATGTGGTAGTCGCAGGCCAGCAAGTTCAATGAGGCTCCCTCTCCTATCCTCCTATCTTTCCCAAGTGCTCAAGGAAATGATCTCTGTTCTTTAAAACAGTTCTAAAGATAAGGGGAAATTGGCTGAAAATTCAGAGCACACTGTACAGTTCATTATTTCCATAGCATGGAAAATTTAGGTGAGCCTTGAGAAAGGTTCTAATTATATTTGTGTACTCTAACTGCATTAATATTCTTAGAACACTCAAAATTTTTCCATTTTTGCTACTCTTTGCTATTAATTGCATTTTGTTTCTCCAGGATAAAGAATATTATACCATATTTTATCATTTTATAAGTATAACCTGTAAGACAGAATAATTGTGCTCAGTGCATATTTTTTTCCTCTTATGTCTTAAGGAAGAGAGAGAAAATCCTTCAAAGCGGAGTAGAATTGAACGTGATATAGATAATAATTTGATCACATCATCACCAAGAACAGGAGAAAAGCCTAACAAACAGATATCTCGAGTAAGACGGAAAAGTCAAGTAAATGGAGGTTTGTTAATATTTAGATACTGTTTAATTTAGGTGTAAGCAGAGATCTTATTTGACATGTTCCTAGTCTGTTTTAAAAATCTACTTTGAGTAAATTTTTCCTTATTTTTGTAATCTTTTTTGTGTTCAGTATTAGTAGCATGAAGTGAAATGAAAATATATCTTTCTAAAATATTTTACTTTGATGAATTAAATAAAGGCAGAATAATTAGCTTTATACTACTTAGCATAAAAAAAAGTATATGGATTGGGGTTGGAGATGTATCTTAGTGGTGAAGTGCTTGCCTAGCATGCCAGAGGCCCTGGGTTCAAGTCCCAGCATCAAAAAGAAAAAAGAAAAAGAAAAAAGTGTATAAGAGTCAACATTAAAAATTTTTTTTTTAGTTGCATGTGAACGTGATAACCTTTATTATTTATTTATTTATTTTTTAATGTGGTGCTGAGAATCAAACCTAGTGCCTCATATGTGCTAGGCAAACCTCTACCACTGAGCCACAACCCCAGCCCCAAGAATCAACATTTTTTACTTCTAATAAGTTAATTTCTGAAAGCAGTAATAATTGTGACTTAATATAACTGAAACATGTACAAAAAGTTTGTTTCTGGATCATGCTACTTATGAGCTCAGAGGGTACTTAGATCATTTAGACTAGCATTTCTCAATTAGGGGTAGTTTTGCTTCTATGGGACATTTGTCACTATCTGGAATCCTTCACAGTTGTCACCACCTGTGGAGGGGTTGCAACAATCATCTACCAGTTAGATGTCAGATATGTTACTAAACATTCTACAATGCAGTAAAGCCTCTCACAATAAAGAATTATCAGGCCCAAATGTCAGTAATACAGCTATTGATACATCCTGTCAATATCTTATTGTATAGCTGAGAAGTTCCTCACAATCAATAGGAAGGAGAAGAACAATAAGGACAAGCAGAGAAAGCTATAAAGAACAGTATTTTAGAGCATGAGGTGCTCTAAAACTCTCTTGTTCCCTTAGTACTGGGAATTGAATCCAGGGATGCTCTACCACTGAGCTACATTTCCAGTCCTTTGCATTTTGTATTTTGAGATGGAGTTCCTCTAAGTTGCTGAGGCTGACCTGGAATATATGACCTCCTGCTTTAGAACTGCCTCCTTGCCAGTATCTGGGTTGTAGGCATGCACCATCTCACCAAGCTAACTAAAACTGTTTTACACACAAGACAAATAACAGTTCTTTCCTCATTCCCTCAGTGCAGTAATGTGTCTTTATTGTTTAAAGTGATCAATATGGAGAAAAGGACACTTAGGACAGAGAGGAGAAGAAAGAGGGATAAACAAGTTAAGCTGGGTGTGGTAGTGTACACTGTAATCCCAGTGACTTAAGAGACTGAAGCAGGAGGATCACAAATTGAAGGCCAGTCTGGGCAACTGGGCAAGACCTTGTCTCAAAATAAAGTATTAAAAAGGGGTAGGGATGTAGCCTAGTATTAGAGTACCACTGGCTGGGTTCAATCCCTACTACTAATGAATGAATGTATAGCTCAGTGGTAGAGTACCCCTGGGTTAAATCCCCAGTACCACCTAAATACGTACATACATAATTTTTTAAAAATAATGAATAATGAATGAAGCTGGTTGCGGTGGCACAGGCCTGTAATCCCAGCAGCTCGGGAGGCTGAGTCAGGAGGATCGAAAGTTCAAAGCCAGCCTCAGCAAAAGCAAGGCACTAAGCAAGTCAGTGAGACCGTCTCTAAATAAAATACAAAAATAGGGCTGGGGATGTGGCTCAGTAGTTGAGGGCCCCTGAGTTAAATCCCTGGTACCAAATCGGAAAAAAAAAGGAATGAGAGAAACAAGTTTTTGTTGTTGTTGTTGTTTTGTTTTTAAAGCTATATCAAAAAGGTAACATTGTGGAGGATAAGTCAAAGTCAAAACTTTTCATTTTATTTTTGTTTTATATTTCCCAAATATCTGTGAAATTTTTTACTTATAAGATCATTCTTCCTAACCACTCTGAAATGGCTCAGATTTCATGTTTTGTTTTATTTTTTCTTTTTATCATTTTGGGGATTGAATCCCAAGGCCTTATACTTGCTAGGCTTTACCACTGAGCTATCTTCTCCAGCTCTAATAAGTAATTTTTGACACAGCTGTATTTGACCTTCTTCAGTAGCGCCAGGTTGCCTCTAATGATTTAACTGTCATTCTTTAGAAAGATATGAGGGAAGGTTTTATGAAGTAGGCAGCATTCCAAAGTGTAATCAAAAACAGAATCTTGCCTTCATGCTTTTGATACTGATAACTTGTTTACTTTCTTACAAAGAATTTTTTTCATTTTCTGTTACACTATATTAATTTGAAGCCTTTTGATTTGTATAATTTTGTATTTAAATTTACTTTGAAAAAAAATCAATAAATGTTAACAATAATAAAGTGTTACTTTATGATTATTTGATTTACTAATGATTTACCTCAGTATTTCTTTATTAATCACTCCTGAATGTTAATTAGTTTTCGCAAGTATTTGAGGGGAGAAAAGTTATTTTTTAAATGATTTATGTGTAATTTCTGAAAGTCACTTGTTTATGACCTTTTTTTTCTATTCTTTCTTAGAAGCTGGTAGTTATGAAATGACAAATCAACATGCAAAACAAAATGGGAAATTAGAAGAAAATCCTTCCTCTGGCAGTCCTCCAAGGACTACATTGTTGGGGACCATATTTTCTCCTGTCTTCAACTTTTTTTCACCAGCAAATAAAAATGGTATGTATAAACCATTTTCATATGGTTAAGTATTAACTATAATTTAATATTGTTAAATTATAGTTAATAAACTATGAAGTTAATAAATTATGAAGGGTTTAAACCTTCATAATTTTTAAAAAGATCTTTTTAATTTTACTGCCATATTTTGTCAGCATCTTATTTGTTTTATGAACTTGTTAAAAATGTACAGTTCCTTGAAAGTATTTTTTAATTTACTGAAATAATTTGTTTTTTCTATGCTTTCATTATCTGAAAATCTAGATGATAGACTTTGGTCTAGAGGGATAATTTTTATTTTTATTATTATTGGGGTGACTTCTATAATTCTTTTTTTTAATCTTTTTTTTTTCTTTAGAGAGAGAGAGAGAAAAATTTTTTTTTTAATATTTATTTTTTAGTTTTTTTTTCGGCGGACACAACATCTTTGTTTGTATGTGGTGCTAAGGATCGAACCCGGGCCACACGCATGCCAGGCAAGCGCGCTACCGCTTGAGCCACATCCCCAGCCCTCTTTTTAGTTGTAGATAGACACAAACGTTTATTTTATTTATCTTCATGTGCTGCTGAGGATCCAACCCAGTGTCTCGTATGTGCTAGGCAAGTTCTCTACCACTGAGCCATAACCCTAGCCTGATTGACTTCTGTGTGTGTGTGTGTGTGTGTGTGTGTGTATGTATGTATAACCCTAGCCTGATTGACTTCTGTGTGTGTGTGTGTGTATGTATGTATATCTATATATATATATATATTTGTGTGTGTGTGTGTGTGTGTGTGTGTCAGGGATTGAACTCAGGGCATTTGACCACTGAGCCACATTCCTAGCCCTATTTTGCATTTTATTTAGAGACAGGGTCTCACTGAGTTGCTTAATGCCTTGCCTTTGCTGAGGTTGGCTTTGAACTTGCGATCTTCCTGCCTCGGCCTCCCTAGCTGCTGGGATTACTGGTGTGTGCTACTGCGCCCTGCCCAACTTCTATAATTCTTAAAGAATATATAGCAGAGAATCCAGAAACATTTCCAGTATTCTGTGACATTACAGATTTATTAAATACCTTTAAACTGAAACCATATAATTTTTTGTAATGCAGTTTTATTATCTTTTTTTTTTTCCTCCTAGGTATTTTCAATCTAGATAAATAGTAATTTGTTTTATTTGAATTAAGGTATTAATAGTACTCTAATGCTATTCTTAGGTAATAAATAATACTCTAATTCAAATGAATCAAAGATTTTATTATATAAAGTCTTTACAAAAGAATCAAATTTGGGGCTGGGATTGTGGCTCAGCGGTGGAGTGCTCGCCTAGCACGGGCAGGGACCTGGGTTCGATCCTCAGCACCACATAAAAATAAAGGCATTGTGTTGTGTCCATCTACACCTAAAAAATAAATATAAAAAAAAATCAAATTTGCTTCTTTACTTTTTGGGGGGCTGGGGATACTAGAGATTTAACTCAGGGCCTCATTCATCATTTATTTTATTTTGAGACAGTCTCACTAAATTACCCAGGCTGGCCTCAAATTTAGGATCTTCATGCCACAGCCTACTAAGTACATGCCCTTACCTGGCCCCTTCTTTTCTTTTTTTTAGTATTTTAGTTGTTGACAGACTTTTATTGATTGATTGATTTATATATGATGCTGAGATTTGAACCCAGTGCCTCACACATGTAGGCAAGCACTCTACCACTGAACCACAACCTCAGCCCACCCTTCATTTTTTTTTTTTAACAGCTTGTTTACTATACTGTGTTTTTATTTATGATAGTTTATTTTCTAGGCTAGTTGAGGGCAAAGGATAGTCTTTATTTTTGATACAGTATGTGCACATGGAAAATGTGTGTTGCCTAATTACTTAAATTCCAGTCTTAATTATGTTGCTGAATAATAGTGTGTGTGTGGTGGGGGTATTTATTTTCCTGGTGGTTCTGGTGATTAAACCCAGAGCCTCACATATACTAGGCAATTGCTTTATCTTTGAGCTACATCCGTAGCCCTTTTTAATTTTGAGACAGAATCTCACTAAATCTCCCTTGTTGACCTCAAACTTGCCTGAATGCCGTTAGTGGCTGGGCCCACAGGCTTGATAATGCAAATTTTATTTTATTTTTTGTTTATTCATCTGTTTGGTACTAGAGATCAAACCTAGGGACACTTAATCACTGTGTGCTATATCCCCAGCCCTATCTATCTATCTATCTATCTGTCTATTTATTTATTTATTTATTTATTTATTTATTTAGGGGATTGAACTTCAGAGGCACTCAACCACTGAGCCATGTCCCCAGCTCTATTTTGTATTTTATTTAGAGATAGGGTCTCACTGAGTTGCTTAGAGCAGCAGCTTGCTTTGAACTCAAATCCTCCTGCCTCAGCCTCCTGAGCCAACTGGGATTAAAATTTTTGAGACAGGGTCTCAATAAGTTGCTGAAGCTGGTCTCAAACTTGCATTCCTCCCTCAGCTTCCCAAGTTGCTAGGATTATAGGCATGCACAACTGTTTAACTGATAGTGCAGCTTTTGTATGTATTTATTTTAGTTGTAGATAGACACAGTGCCTTTATTTATTTTTATGTGGTGCTGAGGATTGAACCCAGTGCCTCAGACCTTGCTAGGCAAGCACTCTACCACTGAGCTACAACCTCAACCTTGGGGCAGTTTTGTTTTTTTCCTTAGTTGTAGTTGGACACAATACCTTTCTTTCTTTCTTTCTCTTTTCTTTTCTTTCTTTCTCCCCCCCCACCCCGCCCCATATATATGGTGCTGAGGATTGATCCCACGGCCTCCCATGTGGTAGGCGAACACTCTACTGCTAAGCCACAACCCCCAGCTCCCTAGGGCAGTTTTTGAAAGGCAGAATGGGGGCTGGGGCTGTAGCTCAGTGGTAGGACACTTGCCTCACACATATAAGGCACTGCACTATATAAAAATAAATGAATAAGTAAAGGTATTGTGTCCATCTACAACTAAAAAATATTTTTTTTTAAAAAAGGCAGAATTGTATAATGTAGAATCAAGAATGTCCTGAGGAAGAAAATAATGCATATTAGTACATAAAGGGACTGTAGAATTCTTGTGCTTCTTAATCCATGAAATGGCATAATTATATTTAAGTGTTTGGAGTGTCTTGAGGATTTCCATTCATTTTAATAAATGTTTATTGAGCATCTCTAATGTTTACTGTTAGTTACTGGAAATTTAGAAATGATTGGCACATGATCCTTGGCTTCAGGGATCTTACTTTTGTTGGGCATGGTGCTGTATACCCAGCTACTTGGTAACCTGTGGCAGGAGGATTACAAGTTCAAGGCAAACTTGGGCTAATTAGCATGATCCTTTTTCCCTACAAAAATGTTTCCTTTTTATGATTAAATCAGTGTAATAAATTTTATAGGCACATTGTAGAGATACGGAACATTGAAATACTTTGAGAATGGAGTGATCCTCTGTGGTGGGTGATGGGTTTAGTGAGTCACAGAACATGTGATAGAAAAGTTGGATCTTGAAAGGTGGTAAAGAGCATTCCAGGTAGAAGAAGCAGTATGAGCAAAGGCCCCACAGCATTTAAAACAGACAGAACATTGGGTTTGAAAAGGGGAAAGGTAAGAAAGTTATGAAAAAGGCAGATTATGGTGCTAACAAAATGTTTGAACTTTATAGTCTGGGGATTGGCTGAAAGGTTTTTAATCTAGTGAAATGATGAGTCAGATTTATGTTTTATAATGATCACTTGGCAAGAATATATAGGCTAGATCCTAAAGAGACTGGAGGCTGGGAAAAATTAATAGAATTGTAGTAGTCCATGAGACTTTAGTATTAGAAAAGAGGAAGAGGATATAAAATGGACAAGTTTGGGGCACAGATTAGAGGTGATAGAAAGAGAGATTAAAGAAGAAGAAAGCTCCATGGACATAATTGAGTTTAATTCAAGCTGTGCTGGTCTTGAGATGTCATGAAACAACAAAATTAAAATGTATAGTAAGAGCTTTGTCATTCCAATGTTGATTTCAGATTTCTGGGTTTAAGCAGCAGACTATGCTATCATCTTGGAATCAGTGGAAGCCAGTGGAACAAATTGTTTATTTTAGTTCTGCAAACCAAGTCTAGAATTTTGCGGGGAAACATTGAAGGACTGGAAAAATTAAGAGCAGCCAACAAAAGAAGACATGGAGGAAGCCAGGAGATGAGACTTAATAAAAGACAGAGAAAGGACTGTTCAAACCCAGAGCATGGATTAAGAATTATAAAGATAGAAGAAAAGGAAATGAGCATTGAAAGGACATAACTAAGCTGACCAATTAGAAGGGCATTAGTTTCTTTGCCAAAAAGTTTCAGAGGAGCGTTCAGATTTGGAAGCCCAGTATTACTGAGTTAGAATAATAAAATGGAGAGTAAGAAAGGAAACAGCAAATGTAGATTACTTTTATGAAAAGCGTTGAGCGTGAATGAAAAACTAGAGAAGTCACACAGTCTCCATCAATAGTTTGTAAGAGCCAAATATTTTTGTATTTTATGCCTCAGGGAAGTATCTAATATAGGAAAAAGTTGAAAACTGAAAAAAAGAGGAAAGTGGAGAAAGTTTCTAGAGATCATTGACAGAGCTGGGATCAAAAGAACAGGTAAAAGGATTTAAATTGAAATAGGATAGGGAGACATTTTTTCCTAATGCTGGAGGGAAAAAACTCCAAAGGTTAACATACAGAAGTTTAAGGAAGAAAGACTTGATATTTGGTAGTTACAATTTTTTCTTTGAAAGAGGGGATTGTTTTATTTATAGGGGTGGTACTAGTGGCGGGGACTTGAAGAGAATACTGAAGGGTTAAAATGTTGCTCTGGGAAGGAGCTGAGACAAAAAAGTGCTGCGCAGCATGCTAGAGGCCTAGTTAAGATTGGGGGATTTCATCTGGAGTATGACCAGACTTTAATAATTGTATTGTTTCCTTTAGTAGTCTGAGAAGCCTGTCATAATAATTCAAGAGGGATTTCTTGATTTATGTCAGTGGAGGGACACGGAAACAAGATTGCTGAGAGCATTGGCTTGCAAGTGGGTTAAGTGATATACTATGAAGTCTAGGTGAGAAGAGTGGGGAAGAAGTTGATGAGTGATGTGTTAGGATGGATCCTCAAGCATGATGATCACATATAATGGGAATAAGATAGATAATTGGAAGATTACAAGGTTGCAGTAAGATTAATGTTAATTTTATATTAAACCTAATATTAATTTTAGGTTTCAGAGATGAACAGTTTCTTAGTTTTAATATCCAGCTTATTGCCTTGGTAATAATGGCTAAAGAACAGTTTGAAGATATTTAAAACTCAAGAAAGTAAAAACTTTGAGGATTAGTCATTGGATGAGTCACAGGCATCATTTGTAATAAAAAACTAGATAAGATACCATGTTTATTAATAGAGTGATGATGAACTAATAGCTAGGTCTTGAACTTCTGTGACTGAGAGGATCCTGGTAGTATATGTTAGATGAGAGCATTGAGAATTAGTGAAAAGTTATATTAGCCACATGATGTTAGTCTCAAAGAGCAGGTTCCACCCCCAACCCCTCTATTAGTGGAAAAATCAGTCATCTGTTAGTAGGACTGGAGATAAATTCTGATTCAGTTAGTATATTTGGCATGGGAGTATAAAGAACATTGAGTGCGTCAGGAAAATAAATGCTTTTAGGAAAGAAGTTAAATTTAAAGCAATAATGCAGAGAATACAAGGGAATTGTGAATGTTGGAAGTTTTGTTATTTTTGTTGTTTAAAATGACATTTGAAGGATTTCAGAAATAGAATGGGATCATTTCATTGTGGAAGAAGAATTGGATGATTTTGTTATTGAGATGGTATTTTGTTGAGTAATTATTTTGGTGTCTTAATAAAAAGGTTCTTATGGTTAGGGGAACATTTAGCTTATTCTTGGATAAGTGCCACTGGTTGAAAAATTACAATTCCCTACATTGGCTAGGATGCTTGTATTTGAATTAGAAGAATTTAAGTTGTTTGGGAATAGTGAACATATATGAAATGCCTGGCACATAGTATGTTCTTAAAAAATGATATATGCTTTAGTGAAAAGAAGTTCTAAATTATGACTCTTATTTGAGTATAAATAGGTGTTTCTGAACTATTTGAAAGTTAAAAAAAAAAATGTGTTCATCGGTGTGGTGACACATGCCTATAATCCCAGTGACTTTGGAGACTGAGGCAAGAGGACCACAAGTTCCAGGCCAGCCACAGCCACTTAACAAGGCTTTGTTTCAGAATAAAAAGGACTGGGGATGTGGCTCAGTGGTTAAGCACTTATAGGTTCAATCCCTGGCACCAAAAAAAAAAAAATTTCCCCCCATTTAAAAAAAATTAGTGTATAATTGTATGTTGTATTGGGGTTCATTTTGACAAAATCAAACATGCAAGGAATTTGATTTCAATCACCATTCCCCCATCTTACTCTTTTCTCCCTCTATTCTTCTTCCTCTCTTCTACTGAGCTTCCTTTTGTTCCTTTATTTATTTTTGATTGGTACTTTATACATATACATAAAAGTGAGATTCCCTTTGGCACATTTATGTATGTATATAACATGATTTTGTTAAATTCATTCCTTATCTCTTCCCCTTTCCTTTCCTTCCTCCCTCTCGTTCTTCTGTACTTCACTGGTCTTCTTTATATACTTGTGATATCCAACATCCCCTCACCTCCCAACTGCCTTCTTTCCCTTATTTTTCTCTAGCTTCCACATATGAGAGAAAACATTCAACCCTTGATTTTTCTAAGTGTGGCTTATTTCACTGGGCATGATTTTCTCCATTTTCATCCATTTACTAGCAAATGCAATAATTTCATTCTTCTTTATGGCCAAGTAAAACTCCGTTGTGTATATATCACATTTTTTTGATCCATTCATCTATTGACAAGCATCTGGGTTGATTCCATAATTTGGCTATTTTGAATTGTGCTGTAAGTATATAAACATTAGAGTATTTATTGCTATAGTAATTATTGCTGGTTTTAGTCCTTTTGGATAAATAGCAAGGAGTGGGATAGCTTGAGTTACATGGTGGTTCATAAACATTCTTTTTTATTTCTTTTCATTTCTCTGGTTGTATGCGATGTAGAGTCACACCGGTACAGTCTTACATGTACCTAGGGTAATGATGTCCTTCTTATTCCACCATCCTTTCTGCCCCCATACACGCTCCCCACTTCTCCCTCCCCTTTGCCCAATCAAAGTTCTTCCATTTTTTCCATCATCACCCCCCACCCACACACATGGATAAGCATCCACTTATCAGAGAGAACACTTGGCCTTTGGTTTTTTGGGATTGGCTTACTTTGCTTAGCATGATACTCTCCAACTCCATCCATTTACCTGCAAATGCCATAATTTTATTCTCTTTTAATGCTGAGTAATATTCTATACTATAGCTTTTTTATCCATTCATCTGTTGAAGGGCATCTAGGTTGCTTACAGTTTAGCTATTGTGAATTGAGCTGCTATGAACATTGATGTAGCTGCATTGCTCTAGTATGCTGATTTTAAGTCCTTTGAGTATAAATCGAGGAGTGGGATAGCTGGGTCAAATTGTGATCATAAACATTCTTGATCCTTATTTTTTGTGAAAAGTGTATAGAAGACTTTCTAAAGGCTCTATCCTTAGCTTTGTTCCTATATAAAGTATTAGTCCAAATAAATTACCTGATGATAATTGCATTTAATTTTTCTAAATATTTGAGTTCTTCAGTGATGATAGTACACTGAATTCTGATTGCAGGAACGTCAGGATCAGATTCCCCAGGACAGGCTGTGGAAGCTGAAGAGATAGTAAAACAACTTGATATGGAACAGGTGGATGAGATCACTACCAGTACTACAACATCAACTAATGGAGCAGCTTACTCAAATCAAGCAGTACAAGTGAGGCCATCGATAAATAATGGTTTAGAAGAAGCAGAAGAAACAGTTAATCGTGATATCCCACCCCTTACAGGTGAAGAAAATTCATTTTTTATGTGTCTTCATTAGTAGTTTATAAAAATATAGTATATCAGATTTTTTTCTTGAATGGGCAGATTAAATGCATAAACTTTTCTTCCTTGAAGTTAAAAAGAAAATTAAATTGGAAACAAAATTTTATCCCAGAAATCCAAAGTCATTATTTGCACTAGTCTTGGACCCTAGGTCTGCAGTCCCTGCCTAGAGGCAGTGTCACAATTTTAGATTTATTGCATACATGAATGATGTACCCCCAAGGGGGATGTTTCTGGATCTCTCCCTATACCCAAATTTTGCAGTCTTATGGATCTTTATAAACTTCATTAACATAATTATTACTTTCTTAGCCAGTAGCCATTGAAATGTAGAAACTTAATGCATCTGAGAGGTAGATATACCTAGTATAACATCAAATTGTGTTCCACCATTCCTGAAAGTGAAGTAAAATTGAGGATAGTCAACTTCCTTCTGGGGCAGACATTTTATCTTAGATTTGTTTTCTGTTGCTTATGGTGCCAGATACTTGAGAGACCCAGTAAATGTATATTGGTTAAGAAGAATGGTTTGGCATAAAGAAGTAGAATAATGTACTTCTCTCATATATAAAGTGGAAACTTTAAACAAGCAAACAAACAAAAAATACACAATAAAACAGCAGAAAACATTTAAAGAAAAAAAATGCACAGATTGTGAATCTTCTGTATATTAAAACTCATTAGCCAGGTGCAGTGGCACACGCCTGTAATCCCAGCAGCTCAGGATGCTGAGGCAGGAGAATCACAAGTTCAAAGCCAGCTTCAGCAACAGCGAGGTACTAAGCAACTCAGTGAGACCCTGTCTGTAAAATAAAATACAAAATAGGGCTGGAGATGTGGCTCAGTGTTTGAGTGCTCCTGGGTTCAATCCCTAGAACCCCCTGCCTCCCAACAATCAATCACTTATTAATACCAATATAAAGAGAAAAGCACCAAAATAGAGGCAAGACTTAATTTCATGGAGCCAAAAATTCTTAATTATACTGTTATGCCCAGAATTTAAGAATGATACTAAATCTAACAAGCAGATCAACAAGGTTACGCACAGATTAACTTACCTTTGACCAATGTTTTCATGCTGATTACATCGCCCAGGGTTATAAATCTAATGAATGGTAAAGGATAAAGTCCAGGACTCTTGGCTATAATAAGTCTTTGTATTTATTTTTTATGACAACTGTGAAGGTGGAAAAGTGATTTCTGTAACCTTAATTTCTGGATAGGAAAAGTAAGACTTAATTTATGAACACCTATTTTTTGTGATGGGAATTATTGATAATGATGAATAAGGTATACACTCCTTGACCCTAAAGAGTTCATGATCTAATTGAAGAGCCAGGTACGCAGAAAAATTACCATGTGGTGAGTGCTATTACAAATAAGTAAGCAAGATGATGTGGTGGCACATTGCAGTTACTCTGGGATGATGATGATAAGAGAACAGAGCCAAAGAAGACAAGAAGGTAGCTTATTACCATTTTAAAGCTAAAAATTGTGTTTCAAACTGTCTCAAGACCCCAAAGTATCATTTGGAATATTAACAAACTTCAAAGCAAACTTAATAACATATATATCTAACTCTACAATCAAAGGGGAAGAATTACTACCACAGCTTAATGGAGCCCAGAGTCTCTTGAGAGAGTTTGAAACACAGTTTTCTTAGTTTTAAAATGATAAATGGGGTATGTCTGTAGCCCCTCCCTTATACTCTCGAGGCTTAGGTGGGAGGATCACTTGAGCCCTGGAATTCTGGACCAGCTTAGGCAACTTAGACTTCATCTCAGAAATAAATGAATAAATGGTAGTAATAATAATACAGGGTTTTGAAGGCTAAATACAGTGAAATATGAAAGATGCATAGTATGTTGGAATTCAGTATATGTTCTATACTTTCTCTGAGGTCAGTAGGAATTTGGAATAGTGAAGTAGTTGGAAGATACATTTTTCATTATCCCCTTGTGTTAGTGAACTATTTCAGGTATAAATTGTCACAGATAAATAAAAATTCTGCTTTACATCTTATGTTATTTGAACAAACACATCAAAGTGACTTGTCTAAGAAAGCCTAAATACATAATTGTAAAAAAGGGTTAATTTTTGTCCTGAAACTTACCCTCTAACACTTGATTTCTAAGGATTACAGACACTTTTATTGGGTTCCACCTAAAATCGTTGCCTTTGAGACATTACTTGTTTAGATTGTAAGGAACAATCTTCCTCTCCTTCAATGTAAGTCACAGTTATTGTCTTAGGAAATTCTCAGCATGTTTCTATAGCATAATGTTTTTTAATTGATATAATCTTAGTTTAGACAGAATGAATTATATAGAATACAATTGTTCCTTAATTATTTTAAAGTTGTAAGTTAGAAGTAAAATATAAAGCTATTTTTTTTCTACATGCAGCAACATGTAGACATAATACATTACTTAACCAATTTTTGGGGGGGGTGGGCGGGCAGTAGTTGGGATTGAATCCATGGCCTTGCACACGCTAGGCAAGCGCTCTACCATGACCTGCATCCCCAACCTCATTACTTAGCTTTTTAAGATCATAGATACAACCTTGAGATTCCTGGGAAAATGTACATAAGTCTTCGTGGGGTTCACGGACTTTTTAAAAATTATTTTTGACACGTGAAAATTGTGAAAACTGATGTAGTACCATGCAGTGTTTCAATACATATATATATTGTGTAATGTTTACATCAGGTTAAATGTCTATCTTCTTAAACATTTATTATTTCTTGATGGTGAAACATTCAAAATCCTTTTTTCTAGCTTTTGGAAGTGGACAGTACTTACTGTTATCTACAGTAACCCTACTGTGCAGTAGCATACCATTACCTCTCACTCCTCTCTAACTGTAACTTAGTACCCATTGATCAATTTCTGCCCAACTCCTGCATCCACTGATCTCTGGTAACCACCATTCTATTATCAACTTCTATGGTACTTGTCTTTCTGTACCTGGCTTATTTCAGTTAATGATCTGCAGTTCCATTCATGTTGTTATAAATGAATGCTTGGACTTCTTAAAGACTGTTCATGAATCTCAGATTTTAAAACTATGTTTGGGGCTGGAGATGTAGCTCAGAGGTAGAGCACTTGCCTAGCATGTGTGAGGTCCTGTGTTAAAGCCCCACTGCTACCACAAAAACAACAACAACAACAACAACAAAAGATGTAACCTTGAAAACAAGTGGAAAATTCTGAATAAAATTAAATATGTCTATAACCCGAAACTTAAAAATAAATAAGTAAATAAAGACCATGGTTGGATCTGTTGTTAGCATATATTTATTGACTACCTATATGTACAAGGCACTTTGTGGTATAGTTTTGATACAAAAACACCATAAGAACTTTATGGTTATCACATACAATCACTATCCAGTTAGAAACTGGATTTTTGTGGGGTATTATTTTTAATAAGTAGTAATTTTTTTCTACTAGTCATGATATTTGTTATTCTATCTGTAGTGATAGGTTTTCTCCTTTGAATGTAGTTAAATGTATGTTACTAAATTTGCTTTAAAATGCTGTGTAGTTACAAGTTAACTACAAGTAGTTACAAGTTACTTTTGTCTTTAATCTTATATATTCAGAGCCTCAGGAAGATCTTATATAGAAATAATAAAAATGCATATTTAAAGGAAGCATTGAGTGTGTAAAAGTAACATCTTCTTTTCATTTTATTAAATAGCACCAGTAACTCCAGAGAGTGGTTATTCATCAGCCCATGCAGAAGCCACCTATGAAGAAGACTGGGAAGTATTTGACCCGTGAGTTATCTGGTTTAAAATTTTTTCTCTTTACTTAATAACTTTTCAAGTTTATGTTGATGCAAAAGCTGGCACTTTCAGTAGAAACCTTAATTTGAATTTTGATTTTTATCCTGGGCTAGTATTACATGGTAGAATACTCTCTTGTGATGCTGAGCAGCAAACTGTAGTTCCCGATCAGCCATGTGATCATGAGGGTAAATAATTGATATTTTGCATTTTACTTTGTTGCTAAACATCAAAGTTTGACCTTTTAGCTATATTAAATGATTTTCAACTTAAGATGCATTTATTGGGATGATTATAGTGACACTCTCCTGTAATCTTGGAGACCACAAGGCAAGAGGAATGCAAGTTCAAGGTCAACCTGGACAACTGAGTGAGACCCTGTCTCCAAATAAAAGATTTTTTAAAAAGCCAGGAATGCTTGGGGCTGGGACTGTGGGTCAGTGGTAGAGCACTCACCTAGCATGTGTGAGGTGCTGGGTTTGAACCTCAGCACAGCATAAAGATAAATAAATAAAGGTATTGTCCATCTACAACTAAAAAGTAAAGATATTTTTAAAAAAGAAAAAAAAAAAAAGCAAGGAACCAGTGGTAGAGGACTTGCCTAGCTCAAGTCCTGGGTTCAACCCCCAGTAACCAGTGTACACAGTGGGTTTTAGAGAGGGAATCTGATAGTGAGGAGCATCTGTTTTAGGAAGAGCATGTGATTTCTAGGTATTAATATCTTTACTGAGACATGGAGATATTAATTTGTATATTTTCACTTTTACTTACATGTTTTTACTGGGTTAAATGGGCTTTATTAAATATTTTTAAATGTACTAAATTTAATAATATGCTTTATGTTTATAAAAATGGAAATATTAAACTTTTCTTAAAATTTGATTTATAGCTATTATTTCATCAAACATGTCCCACCACTGACAGAAGAACAACTAAATAGGAAACCTGCTCTTCCATTGAAAACAAGAAGCACACCAGAATTCTCCTTAGTTTTAGACCTGGTAAGTGTATTATCTGTAAAGGAAGAGAGAATAAAGGAGTTAAATTCTTTTTTAAAGTAACAGTCCAAAACACTGAAAATACAAATGAATAATAATGAGTAGCTATCACACTTAAAATAATGACGTCCTGGGTTTCTGGAATGTTCTTTTAAAGTATAGTCTAATGCTAGGGTTCCACGTTTGGTTGGGATCAAGTATCCTTTGAGAATAAGTCACATTTTTAATTTTTGTATTTAAATGAGTTTTCTCCTCCATATTCCTGAGACCCTTGTGATTTGTTATTTGTTTTTCTGATGCTGGGGATGGAACCCAGGGCCTCAGTTATGCTAGGAGAGTATTTTACCACTAAGCTACATACTCAGCCCCATGATTTGTTTTTCTGTCTTCTAAGAAGTTCTAATTTCATTTCATTAGAATTGTGCCTATATTTTAGATTTCCTCTTTCTTGTCAGGCTCTCAAGTTTCCCCAAAGGACCAAAAATAATTTAGGTCTCATTGAGTTAATATTATCTGATACCAATAAACTTTTCACCATGGGATCGGTGGTGCACACCTGTGATTCCCAGCGACTCAGGAGACTGCGTCAGGAATCCCAGTTCGAGGTCAGCCTCAGCAACTTAGCAAGACCTTGTCTCTAAACAAAAAATTTTAAAAGGGATGGGGACAGGGGCTGGGGAATATAGCTCAGTTGGTAGAGTGCTTGCCTAGCGTGCACAAAGCCCTGGGTTTAATCCCCAGCACCACCAAAACAAACAAATAAACAACAGAAGGAACAGAGACATAGCCCTCTCCCCCAAAAAAAGGTTTTTTCATGAAGTGTCAAAAGCATAATCTCTTAATGCTGGTGATGAAAGATTTTAATATGTTCTAAATGTGATTTAAAAATTTGTATTTTAAGAGCCAGGCATGGGCTACTAGGGAGGCTGAGGCAAGAGGATCACTTTAGCCTAGGAGTTCAAGGTTAGCCTGGGCAACAGAGCAGGACCACCATCTTTAAAAAAACAAAAACCCCCAAACCTATCTATTTTAGAGTACTAGAAAAGCTAGTAAAACAGAATATTTCATTTATTTTGCTAATACAATTTAATATGTAGTCATCACATTTACTATCTGCTTACATACATTTTCATGATATTTAGAAGCAATAAAAAGAGAAAGATGTATTTTTGAATTATGATTCATTTAGATTTGATATGCAAGTTAAAGATGAAAATGAAAAAGATTTTACTATTAGGAGCTGATGTGGTTATGATATTAAGTTTTCCCACATTATTTTGGCTTCAGTGTAAAAGAAAGATTGAGCATAAATAATCTTAGAGAACTAGATGGAGAATGATCAGATCTTAATAGGCTATAGTTGAAGCAGTAGAATTAGTTATGATTCATTTATAGGAAAGAGAAATCATTTTCTTTTAAGAATAGTTTGTATTTCAAGTGACATCGAACAATTTACAGTGACTTCCAGGGTAAATGATTGAGAACCATTCTGAAACTATAGAAGGACTGTGATTTATTAACCATGCCTGTAAAGGGCACAAAACAGTGGAGAGTAGCATGCCAATTATTACTTTAGACAGTTTTGTCTATAAAAAGAAATAGAAAAACATGCATTTTATGAGATACTGAAAAATGATGACTATTCCTTCAGTATTTGTTTAAAAATTTGAAGTGTGATGGTAAATCATATACAATCATAGAAGTAAAGCTTTGCTGCAGTTGGGTACAATGAATCAAATGCATTCTGCTGTCATATATATCTAATTTAAATAAATAAATAAAAATTTAAAAAGAATACATTTTCTTAAGATGCTAACAGCAATACCTTGAAATGTGTGCTGTGTTAAGCATGTACTTTTTGCCTTCTCATAGTTTATCTTTTTTTGTTGTTGTTTTGTTTTTAGTTGTAGATGGACATGGTATCTTTATTTTTGCTTATTTATTTTTATGTGGTGCTGAGGATTGAACCCAGTGCCTCACATGGGCTAGGCAAGCGCTCTGCCACTGAGCTACAACCCTAGCTCTCATTGTTTAACTTTTAAGTTAAAAAAAAAAAAAACACTAGTGCTGGGGCTGGGGCTCAGTAGCAGAGTGCTTGCCTAGCCCATGTGAGGCTAGTTAATAAGATGTGGAATCACAAACTTTGATCATTGTTGTTTAATTTTAATTGATGTTAACCCATTTGGCTCATTGGCCCAGAAATGGAATACCTACAAAAACTTGAATTGAGCAACAAATATACCACTTATGGTAACTTTGACATAATATTTGAAATTTTGTTTTCAGAGATGAAAACTTGGAACTTGATAGTTAATAAACACATTGAAAATTTAGAGGGTAGTCATTAGTAGCTTTTTTTGTTGTTGTTGTTAAATGCTTTCGTTAATACTAACAGAAGGTTTGTTTTTTGTTTTTTGTTTTTTGAAGCATTCAAGATTTAAGGAATGTAAATATTTGCATCTATCTTACATTGAACAATCCTTACTTTCTTATTCTCTTAATGAGAAAACAGGATTTGGGAATAAAAGATGACAAGTTTTCATTGCCTGCTATTTAGTTACATAATGTGGATGAAATGTATTCATGATAAAAACATCTATTTCTAAAGTAAGATTCTTTATATATAGTTTGACGATAAGGAGCTATATGAAATATATATGTATTTGTGTGTGTGTGTGTGTGTGTGTGTGTGTAGAGAGAGACAGACTTCTATAGGTATATATATAGATAGAGATATACATACATATTTAAAAAAATAGATTTTAAACTTGCATTTGCTAATTATATTAAGAAAAAAACGTGTTTTCTAACAAAGTTGGCAGCTGCAGAACTCAGAGCAGTGGTTATCAAACTTAAGCATGCATCAGAATTTCCTGAATTGCTTTTTAAAACAAAGATTGCTAAGGCCCTCCGCCCCCTGAGTTTATGAACCTTCAGAAATAGAGCTGGAGAATTTTGTTTGCATTTGTTACTAGTTTCCAGATGTTGCTGATGCCTTTTATTGGTCCAGGAACTGCACTTGAAAACTATTGACTTTAGAAAATCTTATCTTAATAATAATGTATTATATACATAAAATTCCACATATGAAATAGATGCCTTAATAAATGTTTTGGGTAGTCATTACTACATAAAATTATCATTTGAAGGGTTTTTAAAAATCTTATTTCATTTATTGAATATGTGTTTTTTATTTTAAGGATGAAACACTAGTGCATTGTAGCCTAAATGAGCTAGAAGATGCAGCACTTACTTTTCCAGTCCTTTTCCAAGATGTCATTTATCAGGTAATTTTTAAATTTTTAACTTGATTTTTGGTCTGTTAGGGTAACATTCTGAGTTTAAAAAAAAAAATTTTTTGTGTGTGTGTGTGTTTGATGTTCAATGTGTTTTTCTATAGACTTTCTGATTGATTTCATCAATATTTTAGTGGCCTATTAACACAAAGTACCATCATGTTAGATAGTTACATAAAACAACATTAATTTGTTACCAAAAAAATACTAACTTTTTTTACCCAGTGATGTCTGCTAGATTTGTAATTTATTTGCCAGCAGGTGGAGGCAGGAGCACTGACATAGTTCCCCAAGAGGACTTTGCTAGGTTAACACCTGGTGTTTTTTCAAAAATTCAATTAATAAAAAGAAAACTCATTCCTTGTTGGTCGTTTTATTTCCTATAGTAATGTGTGCAAAATTGTAGTTTGTTAGATCTACTTTATGTTAATCACAGAATTCCAGGACACTCTTCTAGTGTGGGTATAAACATTTCTCTCATCTGTGCTGATGGACAGGTAACAGTGCAAAATATATATATCATTAAGATTTCACCATGGATTATATGTGTTGGCAAAATTTTTTTTTATTTTAAGATTCTCTCTATTTTAAGAGTGAATTAATTAAATAAGCAAATATACTTGCAAAACTGCAAAGTACCTTTTTATGATGGCAGTTGTATTATTAATTAGCATTAACTTTATATGTACTATATGTTGAAAGATGGGGGAAGTGTTAAAGAGTTTGTAGTCTTTCAAGAGGAAGCCAACCCGGATTAAAAATTCACGGATCATTTACCATGTAGATAATGAAAAGGTCTTTATGGTTGTTTATGTGCTCTTAATAGGCAGTTATAATGTGGTCATAGTTTTCTTGGCTGATTTTAGTTGCTATCTCATAGGAATCATGAAATTCCTCAGCTATATAGAAGTTTGTGCTTCAGGGCTACTTTACCAAATACTTCATCTGGTAATGAATCATAAGAAGATTTATTTTTGCAGTAATTGTCAGGTCTAATTTAACCTAGATAGGTGTTACAGGTGTGATAATACCTGAATACCATATATACCTTCCTTTTATGTAAACTGATTTAAGTCCTGGTATATAATCAGAGGATGAGCAAAATATGCATAAAAATGGGATTTTAAGATCTTTCTGTTCCTTTTGAATTGGTTATTGGTTTCAGGCAAATCTTTTTTTAAGACATTATACATTGCTTTTGTTTAGGTGGACTTCAAGGACAGTAGTCATATGGCACATACATATAAGTATAGCAACAACTTAAGTTTTCTCTTTTTAGCTTAATAACCTTGTTGGTGTTTTGTTGGTTTTTTTTTCTTTCTTTCTTTTTTTTTTTTTTGGTAAGATTGCACAGTGGCTTTAGCGGTTTGAATTTGGAAGGGAAAGCTATTTGAAAAATAGGTAAATAATGATTTTTAGATGACTCATTAAGCTTCTAGATTTGAAATTTATTTCATACAGATAGATGGCTTTTGGTCTGTTTAGGTAGTATTGATAGTGAAATAAGAAACCTGGAAAGGAGATAATTTGGTTCTTTCAGTATGATCATATAATTGAACTTTTTTCTTATTTCCACCATTTCTGCTTTAACTCTTCTTTTTAAAAGTTCTTATTTCATGTGGATCTGGATAGTTGTTGTGGTTTGAATAAAAGGCTTATAGGAGTACATATGACTAATAGTTTAAAAAATTATGTATGTACTGAATGTCTCTGTGGAATTCTAAGAAATATTTTTTGTTATATATTTTTAGTTACACTTTCTGAAATTGAAAAATAAATAATCTAAATAACAATGAGCAGGAAGTTTGAATCTTAGAAGCTATAGAGATTATTGAATTTTAATATTATGACTAATTTACTACATCAAGGACAGGGTTTAGTTCCCCTTTCGTAAATTTTTGAGGATGTCCATAGTTATCATTGGGTACATTCCTTTGGATTTCTGGTGTTGGTATGGCCATTCTGTCTGCTTTTTTAAAATAACTGAAGAAATCTTTGGGTTAGGGTTCCCCCAGTTTTTTCAGACCAGCAAGCTCCCTTTAAACAGGGAATGATGTCTTTTAAAATTTCAGTGGTGTTGTCTCCATCTACTGGCAAAGAAGAAATATACACAAGGGTCTGAGATGATCTAAGAGATTTTGGAGAAACCACATTATTAGGTAAGATGTAACTTACATATTTAACCACTGTACTGTAATGTGGCCCACTTAAAGGTAGAAACCTGTAAAGTACTGTATATACTCTTATTTAAAGAATACCTTATTGAGGTAAAATTTAAATGACATAAAATTAACCCTTTTTCAGTAAATAGTTACCTGGCAGTTATCTGTTTCCTCTTTAATATGTCAGTTCCATAGCATTTACACCCACATGCATGCATGTGCACATGCACACACTCAAACATATACTCTCAGTTAAAATAGGATCAACTTATCTAGGCCAGATAAAGCATCCTATTGGGACTTCTATTTTCTTTTTGTGGTAAGTTTGTTATGGTTTACCTAATTTTAATTCTACATTTTCTTTCATTTCAAAACAATTAAATGTAAATATATCTTAATAATTGTCTGTATCAGGAGTTGGCAAACTTCCATAAAGGGCCAGTAATAAATATTTTAGGTTTTGTATGTCTGTTGCAGCTACTATTTCTGCCATTACAACATGAAAGTAGCCAGAAACAAAAAGTATGGCTGTATTCCAGTAAAACTTTATTTATAAAAATATACTTATGCTGGATTTGGCCAGTTGGCCTGTATACTGACCCATGGTATAATAATTATGAGAGTATATACAGTAAATTTACATATTGAGATTCTAAGTGGAAGCAAGTAATCAAATGTTCATCAAAATTCTTGTTACTGTATATAAAAATTTTAAAATAGATCCACAGAAATCTGGTTGTGGGCTTTTCTAGTTGGATTTTTTTTTTTTTTTCCTTAGATCAAAACTTGAGGGAATTTTTGAGGTAGTCACTACTGAACATTTAAAGATTGCCTGACTCATACTACTCGTCTTTTGATTGATAAGTTTATTCAACTTGGTTAATATAGGTCTTAGAATTCTTTCGCAGGTAGATTATTGAATTCTAAATTTAGTATTACTTTAATTCCATTTGTCAGGGGATAAAAACATAAATGATCCATCCAGAGTAAAAGTTAATATATGTTATTACTGACACTATACAAAATAGACAGATTATAGTTTGTATTCATGGAGAAAAGTCACTTGCAAGAACTGACCTTTTCAAATGAGGATATGGCACTCACAAAGGCAAAGTGTGTACAGAATTTTGTTTGAATTGGTATTTTTTAAAATCTTTTCCTAAAAGTTTGTTTTATAATTAGTTATTGGGAAAACATTTATTCATAAAATGGTTCAAATACATGTGATACCTGGAAAAACAAGTGCCTGATCACTTCCAGTGCACATGTTTAATCTTTATATTTTGTTTATATTGACACATTATCAGGAAATCCATCTCATGGTGTTACTTAGTTAAGAGGTCTCCACTGTATTTAGTTTCTGTTCCTGCAGATCCACCAATTCAAGACTCTAGGTCATCTCACTCCCTCTTCCATCCAGAAGATGACTTCTATCCACAAGCAGGACTGAATCAAAAGACATTTTTCACTTAGCTCTTGAGCTGAAACACCTCCTCAATGACCTTCCTCTGTCTCCATCAAGAACTGGAGCTCAGTTTTTTGAAGATGTAATAGAGCTATTCAGCCCAAACGTGGCTGATTGAAGACAAAAAGAAGATACCTCATATGTTTGACCACAGTGCAGACAAACGTAACTGTGCTGTCCAACTCCTCATTGTGTAAAGTATGGCAGGGGCAATTGATTTTTGACTCTGTTCACCAATAAGACTTTAGCCAGTCAGTGGCTTTTGAAGATCAGTCAAATCAACAAAACTTTGGGTCAGCTGTCCAGAAATCAGATTGTGGTAAGCACTCAAGGAGAGATAGGACCCTGTAGGGAGCTACTTTTAAAGGATGCTTTGTTTTATGCTAGAGATGGCTTTTATGGGAAAAGTTGAAGGGACAGGTGGGTGGAGAACTTCATGATTAGCAAAACTTAGCCTTTTCTTATTTTTAGTGTCTTGGAAATCTTACAGTTTAGGATGATTTTCATACCATGGAACAAGAGAAATAGAGCTTTAGTGGCTTCTGTCTCTTCTCTGCAGCCTTTCATAGAAAAGTCAGATTTGTTTTTTCTTCATAAATGGAAAAAATCATTTAAATGAAGAACTTTGTAGTAAATACCTAGTTTAATTTTGTCTTCTCCCTAATTCTGACTTAATAGAGTCATTTTGTTGAGTTTCATAAAGCATAATTTTGTTAAATAATTTAAAGTAGTATTTCACTGGGAACAGTGGTGCATATCTGTAATTCTAGTAACTCAAGAGGTTGAGGAAGGATTACAAGTTTGAGGCTAGCTTTGGCAGTTTAGTGAACCCCTACCTCAAAATAAAATAAAAAGGGGCTGAGGATGTAACAAGTTTAATCTCTGTTATCCCTACCCCAAAAGTAGTATATGTATTTGTGCCTTAAATATAACATTTGGAGTCATGGATACTTATTATTTGAGGATAATATTTTAGCTGATGAGTAATAGTATTTCAGTAATTAATTGCAAATATTAAAATTAAAAATTCTATTTTTAGTAGTATTTTAATAATTTTAAAGCAACTTTCCCATCCTTATAAGTATGGTTAGTCATTTGGTACTAATTTTTTCATCCTAATTATTAATTTACAGGTTTAAAAAGATACAAATAAAACTTTAGTTTTCTTGGTTTTGTTGTTTTTGTTTACCATCCCCCCTACCAATCCACAATTGAATTCAGATGTGCTATACTACTGAGCTACCTTCCCAGCCCTTTTATTTTGAGAAGGGGTCTTACTAAGTGTCATGGCTGGCCTAGAACTTGCAGTTCCTTCTGCCTCAGCTTCCTGAATTGCTGGAATTATAGGCGTGTGCCACCATGAC